ATTAGTTCCGGACATTAAATACTTATTATTACTGAGTTGACCTCAGATTCTTTACGAATTTGTATAAAGTTTTTTTTTTTGGACATTTTTTTGGTATATAATGACTGTATTTTTAGATAATACTTTTATAGACACGTTTTGGACTATTTAGAATTTTGTAAATTCATCATTCATCGATATTTTTTTTTGGACTATTTAGAATTTTGTAAATTCATCGATATTTTTTTTTTGAACTATTTAGAATTTTGTTAATTCATCGATATTTTTTTTCAAATTCTCTATTCAATCGCTTTCGAATTTTTTTCGTCTTTATACATATTGTATTGTATAGAATTTTATCGTTAAGAGATAAGACTTCTTATCTTTGTAAATTCGTAATTATCGTAAATATTGTAGTGTATATTTTTTTTTCTTTGGCAATAAATCTGATTATTTCGTACTAAATAAATATTTCTGTTATTAATGTTGAATATAATATTGTTACATACTATAATATAATAAATTTTTCTTTACAGTATTTAATAAATTGGAGTATCATACTCCGGAACACTCCAGATGAAATATATGAAATAGAATATTCAACCAGTCTGCTAAACTGAAAACCAAACCGGTAGTTCTATATTAGAACTTAATGCTTCAAGCTGGTTTTTGTTGTAACTAATTTCAAACCGACCAACAAACTCAATCCATTAACAACTTTAAATAATTAATACTGTAGTTACTGTATATTTTATCATAAGAATAATATTTATATAATATATATAATTGGAATTATAACGATATCAATACTGCAATATATACGTAAATCACGTGAAATAAAACTTCGGATAATTTCAAGGAAATTTGAATTTTTTTGACGTTAAAGTATGAGACTTAGACAATGTGGGGAAATATAATTTTGAAAGTAAATGAATTTCCTTTAAAAATTTTTTATTGTTTATCAATATGCTTATATAATTAATCATATGAGAAAACTATGACTATATACAGTATATTGTGTTATTTTAAAAAAATATTTATCAGCAAACAAAAGTTTTAATCATTTTCATAATACAATAAAATTCAAAAAAGTTGCCTATTTATATTGTGGTTAGCTAATTGTTTATACCAGGTGATCAGATATTATAATTGAGTATTTTGTAACACGAACCAAAATCAGTAAGGTACGTAGCATTTGAAGCATTTGAATACATGACTGATAATATTTGACAAACCCATCTGGTCTGAGATTTCTTATTGTATACACACATACGTACGCACGTATTTACTCGCTTTATTGATTACGTAAAGACAATGGTTTTCTTACGTAACAAGAATTTTGTGATTTTTTATTGTGGTCACGTGGTACATCTCAATTCGAAGAGAAATTTACTCTTTCAAAAAATTTATTTGTGAAAATCAAAAAAAAATCAAAAAATTCGACTATATACAATTCTTAAATGTTTTTAATAGAAAGTCAACATCATGTCTATTCTATAGAATTATTTACAAGAGGAACTACTATAAAAAAAGAATCTTACGGGACAAAAGAATTTTACATAATTTTTACATATGGATTCATGCTTATGGCTTAGACGAAACTTAGTTGCGTTTATGAAATGCGGCAATTTTACGACGTGTCTATATAATTAAAATGCGATTCATTTAATATATTAATTCAAAAAATATTTAAAAGATTTATTTAAAAAGATTTTATATATATCAACATACCTCTCTTAATAATTGAAGTGTACGACTTGCTTGTAAAATGCAGGGTGATTCTATAATTCTGTCTTTTATATCTTTTATATGAGAGACTTCTGAAGTAGTCTTAATAATTTCTTCTTTTATAGTTATAGGTTCAATATCATCGTTGTGTGATGCAGAGTCGTTCAGGTTAACAAAGTAAAATGAGTTTTTGCGTTGTGATCGTTTATGTTCACGTTTTATCGGTTTTGGTGATGTTTGAAGACCAAGGTAACCAGAGAATGGAATTTCGGTGTTTGGTGCCATCTTTGGTGGTAAGACTACTTCTAAAGAATATGTGGTGAAAAAAGGTTCGTATTCAGGTTCCTTGCGGATCGATTTTTTTGCTGGAACGTCGAATCCTAAATAATGGCTATAAGGTGTGCTAATTTTTTCTTCAATGTCAAAGTCAAGGTCGACGAATACTCCAGAATCCCGAGAACGAGTGGTGTGTTGGTTTGATGACATTTTTTTAAAAGATTATATGTATATTTCTGTTTTATTAGGAATTGGTATTTTTTTTACGAAAAATTTTTTTTTTTGCTTGTGTTTTTTCAAAGAAATTTTATTTCGATTGAATTTGTTTTGCTTTGATGAGAATTCGTTCTTGGGTGGAGAAATCGCCTTCATTTTATAACTATCTTGACGGTTCTAAGCTCATCAAAGTGTTTAACGATTTTTGGTTGTTCTAAGCTTATCAACATTCTTGATACCTTTCCTAAAATATTTTAACGATTTCGGGTTGTTCCAAGTTCGTCGAATTTTTCTATCCATTGTTATCATGCAAAATGCATTCAAAAATATTTGTAACGCAAGATAATGCAAGATAGTTCTAAGCTCGTCGACATTTTTTGCCTAATGCAAGAAAATACATACATAATTTGCTTTGGTATTAATACAATGCTACCCATTTAATTTTCTTAATCTAATCATATATTTAAAATGTAATTAATATTGTCGTATTGTGTAAAATTGTGTGAATTAAGGAAAATAATACTATATACAATGATACAATGATTCTGGTCGAATGATTCTGATCAAATACGCGATAAAAAAAAAATAATAATACAATTCAGTCTTATGTATTCGCTAAGTATTTACATGATTACATAGAAACATGATTACATAAAAACGTATGTGTTAAGTTTCTTGTCACGTAAAATAATGAATTATATGAAATATTTGACTTCTTTTATCGTGAAACTTTCTTTACAATAATTATAGATAAATGTCGAACATAAATTTTCTCTTTTTGGGAATCAGTCAGGATCGTCCCCTCAAAGTTCGGGTCGACTACTGCCGCAGCACCTCGGTATTTTTTTTTCGTTAAAAATATGCTAAAATATTAACATATATTAACATTGTCAGAACTTTGCCGCAGTAGGGTATTATGATGTCCTACGGCAATGTTAATATTTTAGCATATTTTGAATGAAAAAAAAATAATACCGAGGTGCGGCCCTGGATGATTCTCTTTTTTGGCCCACTTCTCTACTTTTATCACATGATATAAATCCAGCTTAGAATTTCAAGTTCATCTGAATTAGTCCAGTTCCGGAAAATTACCACCGCATAAGAAATACCATTGATATACGCGTATTACGACAATCATTAACTAATTTCGATTAAAATTTTATTTACGTGACAGGATAGTGACAGGATCAGGATGCTGTCAAAGAATGTTATGGCGCAAATCATTTAACGCTAAAGACATCCAAAATTGTAACTCTTCAATGAATATTCAGACAAAATTATCGCTTTATGGTCTGGATAAGACCTATAATGTAATGCTTTTATCTTTTTTACAAATTTACTCTTATTCATCAAGGAAATACCAAAAAAAATAAAATAAAAACACAACAAAAATCTTTGGAGACTAATAACAGCAAGATACTAAAGAAAGCTTTATGTACTGTGTCAATAATTATATCTTCTTCTTCCGGAAACTTGGAAATTTTTATAATATTAGCATTTTTGATTTGTAAAGACTTAGAAGTTTCAATGTTTTTTTAGGGATTGAGTTTAGTTTTTGTTCTTTTATATTCTAGAATGAATTTTATTTATCAAAATGCTTAACAATCCTGTTAACTTAGCTTGCAAATCCAAATATTCAAGATTTAATGTTTTATTAAATTTGATTTGTATATTTATGTTGTTGTTTATTTATTTATTTTTTTTTTAATTCAGCAGTTCTGCCTTTATTATTTTATTAAAAGTATCAGAAAGTTATTTTTAACAGGTGAACATAACTTTCTATACTATATAGCAGAGGTCTTTTTCGATTTTTAACAGCTGCCCTACCTTGTTAAAGGAATCTCTTCAATTCACCGACAATCATTTTACCGAATGATCATTTAGCCGACATAATATAACATGGTTTATATATAAAAATTAGGATTTTTGGAATGTAAACTGCCTCTATCTAAAACTTTTTTTGTATTAAGTTAATCACTTTTGAACCTTTAATTAAAGATGTAGAGCTTATCAAAGCAAATCTAATAATAGTTGAATTATCAAAATCAGCCTTGTGAATCACAAGATATCTTTGAAAATATTTCATCAACTATATAAATTTCTTTTCAACAATACTATTGTTGAAAGAGAAGTTTATATAGTTAGAAAAATATTTTGATGATTCAACTACCATCAACAAGCTCTACAACTCTAATTAGAGGTTCAAAGATGATTAACTTAGTATAAAAAAAGTTTTAGATAGAAACAGCTTATATTTTAAAAACTCTAATTTTTATATATAATAAGCTTTCTTTGGTTGAGTAATAAAAAAAACTTTATACAAATTCGTAAAGAATCTGAGGTCAACTCAGTAATAATAAGTATTTAATGTCCGGAACTAAT